GCAGCTCTCTGAAGAAAATTAACAAGGGGAAGGTTGTAATACTTAACTTAGATGCATTTTCCTGTGTCTATCTCAACACTCCTAGGTTATTCATGGTGGTTCAAAGAATGCTCTCACCCTGGAAGACTCTGGGGCTTATGCTATGAAGGGGTCACTCTTGGGTCACTCTACAGTATCCAGGAGGTCACAGAAACAGTAGAATATGCTTAGTGATGAAGGACAGAATGAAACTCAGTAATTGAACCTGAGAAAGTGTCATTTCTGGAGCTTGAAAAGATACACAAATTAAAAGCAGAATTGTCCTTTCACTAAAGAAACTGGAGTAGAGACATAAAGTCACAAACCATGGAAAATGTGAAGAATTAGAACACTGTGTGATAAACTCTATGACTCTTCCATCTCTGCTTACAAGCAATCCTGATGCCCATATCTAAAGGCCATGTGCTAGTTACTACAAACATTGCAGACATTTGCAAGAAGCAACTCTTTTTTTGAGAAAGTTAAAAATTTTATTTTTATTAAGCCACCACAAAAAAAGACAATCAAACCATCAGATCGTGCCTCATCCTAATGTAAGTCCTGTGCAACATGCATTAAAATAACCTGGGTTAAAAAATTATTTTGTATACTTTACTGATAAAAATTCCAAAAACACTGACTAATTTGGTACTACACTATAAGAATAAACCTATGTCACTCCTAAATTAGAGCACAGTAATAGCCTATGTCATCTCATGGTATACTAGAGGATTACTTCCTACTTTATCCAAGTATTTTGGTAGAACAGTATGTATTAATAGTTATGTAAAGATAAAAATACAACATTCTCTTATTTTCTCTCCTCCTCCCTTTCTCTCTTTGTGCAGGTGCTGGGGCTTAAACTTGGGGCCTGGTTACTTTTCCTGAGCTTCTTTTGCTCAAGGATAGCACTCTACCACTTGGCCCACAGCTCGACTTCTGGCTTTTTTGGTAGTTTATTAGAGATAAGAGTCTCATGGACTTTCTTGCTTGTGCTGGCTTTGAACTGGTTTTAAACTGTGATCTTCATATCTCATCTTCCTGAGAAGCTAGGATAAGAGATATGTGCCACCATAGCCTGGCTCCTTTTTCTCTTTCATGTTTTCATTATCTATAGACTCTTTCAAGGAAAAGATTTCCTAGAGTAAAAGGATTTCTTCTGTAGTTCACTAGTGGCCACTATTGGACAGTCTCCCCTTAGTTTACATAAAGTGATAGAACTAGTCCACATGAAAAAATATATAAGGGTCAGGACATGGTCCTTAGCACGTTAAAACACTAAAAACAGGAGTCTGAAAGTGCTAAACCCTTCACAAAATCATCAAGAGAAAAATTTAAAAATAAATAACTTTAGCCATGAGCCAGTGGCTCACATCTGTAATCCTAGCTAATCAGGAAGCTGAGATCTGAGGATTGTGGTTCAAAACCAGTCTGGGCAGGAAAAGCCTGTGAGACTCTTATTACCAGAAAACCAGAAGTGGCACTGTGGCTTAAGTGGTATAGAGCACTGGCCTTGAGCTGAAGAGCATTGGGACAGCACCCAAACCCAGACTTCAAGCTCCATGACCGACAAAAATAAATATAAATAAATAACTTTCTATGCCCTACAGATTCATGAGAAAAATCCTTAACCTTGATTTAATGACAGTATAAGAATAAGAAATAGACTAGAAGTGCTATGTATATAAACACACACACACACACACACACACACACACACACACACACTGTTGGAACAGGCCACAATCTGCTGTAATAAGGGATTTAACATTCATTCCACAAGCTAATGGTTCTTCTCGCCATCCAAGATAGATTCACTTAGATAATAGTGGAAGAGAGTGCCAGAGGAACTGAAGGAATGGCTATTGTGTTTGACTGGTTTCCATGTATAAATTAGTATAGAGAGGAAAAAGAAATTCAACAGAAAAACACATGTACTTTATTATAATTTCTGGTGTTACTCTTGCAACTCTTAACAATAGCAAGCAAAAGAGCCTAAAAGCACTCACAGGAAACAAAAAGTAAATGCAAGCTTGATTCAATGCCTTTCTGACAATACTTCAATGTGGATGGATACATGTGTCATTGGGTAATCATGGGTTTTGCCACATTCCTTCGAACTAAACAATTGAGATAAAGAGAGGAGAATGGAAAAAGAGAATGAGATGGGAAGCTTGCTAAAGTTATGTCCGATGTCTTTATTTCACCTGAATATCAGGATGAAATCTCTTGATTGGTACTACTGTCCAGTTGTATTTAAAGAAGAATTTGATGATGTGTCTACCACATAAAAATATGGACCTTATTCTTTTAAAAATAATGACTTAGCTAAAAAAAGGATTTTGACAAAATTGAGTCCCACAGCAGTCAATATTTGTACATACTCAAGAAACAAGTTCTGAGACACGGGATTTAGCTGTCAATAAAAGGAAAGCTATTTGGAAGGTAAACCCTGGACTGCCACTAAACAGACAGGATGTTTTCCAATTAAGTTACAGAGGTTTTTAGAAATTACTTCAATAAATTCTAATAGTAGATACACTCTTGTAATGCATAAAGAATTATATGCGAAATTAATCCTCCAATTAATTGCACTATCAAGTCTGAAAGTTGAACTGATGATGTCACCTTTCTACTTTGAAGTCAACTGCAGGTCAGGCTAAAGCAAAACCAAAAATTCAATACTAAGCTGAAAGAGGCAGTTAATGAGCAAGCGTAGCAAAGGGTCCATAATTCACAACTAACAAAGCTACAAGAGGCAGATAATGAGCAAGCATAGCAAGGGTCCATCAGATTTTCAATGGCCTACATGGTGCAAAAACCCTCCACATCTCCCGAGAAAGAGCACAGTCCAGCCCACATCATTGCTCCAATCATTTCCAAACAGTTTACGTCCATAATACAAAGCAAACAATTAATGTTCGCTTCATTACTTGACCTTTGGATAAAATGTGAGCATGCTTCCTTGTCTGTAAAATGGGTTTAAACATGCTTTATTCACACAGAATTCACTGGTAATCTTTTCAAACAACTAACTATGCTTTTGCCACTTTTAGACACACAATAAATAACAGCTCTCACTAACTTGGGCATTGCTCCACAATGGGGATGCAAGGTCTTTCTTCTTTGGCAGAACTCTCTGTTTCTTAATCATTTAAACATAAGCATAAAAACTAATACTTCATTTTTAACTTCCTAACACAATTAGTGTATTTCAAACTTATATCCTTCTCTAACAAGGAAACATTCTTTTTTCTTTCGCATAGACCTAATTACATGCTCAAATACCTGTATGAATATTCAAGATATCATAGAGGAATATAATGCATTTACCAAATGTCTAGCAAGTCAGTCTATTCCTGAATGGGAAAGTGTTACTAAAGTATAATGAGATCGTACTTCCATATGAAAGTATCAAAAAAGTAATGCATACTGGGGATTCGCTTTATGATTCAATTTGATGAGAAAACAACAAACACTTCAAAAAATAACAAAGAGGAAAGATGAGACAAACTAATGATGTATATAAGTACCATATCCCATATGGAAAAAATGAGACATCTTTCATAAATTACTTGCTCCATAAGTCATAAAGCACACCTAAACATTCTGCTCTTTATATTCTTCAGAACAGTGAAATCTCATAGTCGATGCTTAAAAGTTTAGTTGTGCTATTAGTGTCCATAAGAAATTTTTGATTGCCAAGCAGAGTTATAATTTTTAGCTTCAATGATTAAAATGGAAGAATGGATAAAATATTTAATCACTAATTATCTGATGGATCTTGCTGGAGAGTTTTTTTTTTCAGCTTACACTGAATAACTTGATTCCCTACTTTGAAATTATAGTGTAGATGGTTTGTCAGAATGAAAGCAGAAAAAAAAAAAAACCTTTCCTGCTGCATCAACAAAGCAATGCCACCTTTAGGCTGGGCACATTTTTACCTGTTCCTTCCTTGCCTTCTTACCTTCTGAGGAAGTTCTGGCATGCCATAAATGTGGCAAGGAAAGCTACAATCACGTTTGTTTGGAACCAGTGTGTGCAAATCTTGGAATCAAACCTTCAGATGAGGTTTACTAAACTGCCTGCCCAGAACACTCTGGTTTAAAAAATGTGCATTGCTATTAATATTTTGAGTGTAGTTTTTTTTGGACAGTAAATGTTCATTTTCTGCCCATAAAACCAAGTATGAGTCACAACGGAACATTTACTTTGAATCAAAAAATGCAATGTGTGCTGATGTTCAGGGGAAGAGCATCTTATCACTAGGATTGTGGAAATCAGCCGTACGAAAAATCATCAGTTTTCTTTTTTTTTCTTGTCTTCAAAAAGGAGATCTGAGATCAAACACTCTAATCCTCAATTCATAAATATGAGCATTAACTGTTATCCACAAATGGCTTGCAGTAATTATAAACTGTAATCTGGGTTGGCTGGAAAGAACTCTCCTTCCTTTAAAAAAAAAACTGGTTCCTTAATACATATGTATAGGAGGGAAAATAATTCATACATAGTGCTGGAGGAAAGCCTCTTTCACATCCTATCCTTCAAAAAATTCCAGCAGCACCACAGCCAGTGAGTTTGATTTCAGGATGTCTGTTACCCAAATTCCAAGCATAGACACAACCTTTTATACAGTCTTTAGCTCTGACTTTATGCAGTATATCCTACGGTTCATATCTCAGTTATCAATACAATTACATACCTGTAACTAGTTCCAGAAAGTCTTGCAGACTTTATTTTGTTTGGGAAGCTGGGGTTAAAGTTCTAAAAGAGTTATTTTTCTTGCTTTTAAAATCATATACATTCTTTTACCTGGAGTTTTTAAGATCAGGATCGCACACGCTCACACACACACAACACACACGTGTACACACACACGTGTACACACACATACACACCCGCACAGACACCACACACACACAAACCCCTCAACAGCACCCAGACTAAATGGGAACGTATTGAAATGAGAAGACATTTACCAGGAGTAGGAAAGCCAGAACCAGGAGCCGTGTGCCAGGAGTTGCCCGACGGCAGCATTCCATGCTTGGATCCTTGCCGGAATCCGAACCGGACACTGAATAAGCTGCTAAGTGCTCCTCTGCCTGCTGTCACCTCCACTGCTGGTGCTAACACTCCGGTCCTGCCTATCAGCTTCCATCAGCCCCGCTCACATTTCCTGACCGAGGGTGGGTGGGTGGATGGGTGGGGGGTAAGCTGAATGGAATCTCTCTCTGAGCAGGCAGCCAGCCAATCAGGCTCCTGCTAATCAGACATGCTGAATAACAAAGCCAGGGGGACAGAGAAAGTGTAACAGTGCGAGCTGAAAGGGGGAGAAAGGACAGAAAAGAAAGGCGCTGGAGAAGAAGAGCCAGCAGGAAAATGCCAGGGACGCAGAAGGGCAAAGCACTCACTGTGCTTTTAACTAACCTGGTCAGTTCTTTGTGAGATACGTTTCCCTTGGCCGTTTGCCTGTGCTGATGTCTGTTGCTTTGTAAAAGTACAGTAGCTCCCTGTGATCGTGTATTGTTCCATTCAGGGGAGAAACTTAATCCCTGTCAATATATAACATATGCCATAAAGGGAAAGAGCCATAGTCAAAAAACGGACTGACTGTGTCCTTTAAATGCATTCTATGCAACTGTTCTCTTCTTTTTCTCCCAGAACTTTCCTCTTTGACTTGGAAAAGAAATACTATACATGTTTATGAAAGTTTGTCATTAAATCTAATGTAATTTATTCGAGTGTTGCAAATTTCATTTGAAAAAAGAAAAAGATAAAGCAAATTGCTTCTCTGTAAAGTGACGATTTGAAATGTCCAAAATGTATTAATTCTAAAAGCCCAATTAGACACTTAGATCACCTACTTTAAGAAGATCTTAGCAAAGACTTCAGGATGAATAAGAATAAAATTTGGGGTTGAGGAACTGCCTGTTTTTCATATCTTGCTAAATCACAACTATTTGCTCCAGTAAAGAAAAGGAAGAAAGGGTGATTCAAATTCTGTTCATCCCTAAAGATGTTTTATTTTGCTACTGGTATTGGGCTTGAACTCAAGGCCTCATACTCTGGCTTTGGGTTTTTTCACTGAAGACCGTATCTCTACCACTTCAGACACACCTCCACTTCTTGGTTTTTGCTGATTTAGAGATAAGTGTCTCATAGAGTTTTGTTTTTTGTTTTTTGTTTTTCTGGGATGGCTCTGAATCTCCATCCTTAGATTTCAGCCTCTCTGGTAGCTAAGAGTACAGGTGTGAGTCACTAGCACCAGACTCCATTGATCTAACCCCATTTCAATCTCCTTCTTACCTGCCCCATAGGATGAATGGAGCTTCACTCCTTCACACTTCTACTTTAGCATGAGTTGGACAGATTGATCTCTTTAGTTCAGCCTGGCTCTGGAGGAAATGCTGATGAGAAGGCCACCACACCAAAGAGAAGGTCAGAAAGTTTCAGAGGCCGCTTAATCCTCAAGCAACCCAAGTTTGAGTCAGCCAGAGGATCTTATTACAATTTTCCAGAAGTGTTAAATGTCAAACAAGAATGTATCTCCCACTTATCTGCTAAGGAAATCAATTGAGTTTTGAAGAATAAAATAGACAGTTGGCTTTGTATTTCCCATAGGTATGTAACCAGGTCATTTTTCCTTTGCAGATCTGATAACTCAGGACTATATTCAGTAGAACTAGAATTAATCTCTTCATTATTAAAATATACTTGACAAGGGGCCCGAAACACACAGATAGGAAGAACCTAATCCAGTGACCTTATAGACATGTGAATACAGACAGAGGTACATTCAAGGTTGCTGTTCAACTCTGCATATGTCTTTCATATAAAAAGAGAAGGAAGCTTTAAAAAGCAGACATTCAACCTGTCACTAAATTTAAGGACATATAAGGATTCATCTTGCTCCTTAATATCAAATCTTCAGAAATAGGAACATGATGGTACAAATCTAAACAGAAGTCCTACTTTGGAAATATGATCTTCCTTTTGACAAATAGCAAATGTCCACAAGCTAAAGAATATTCACAAGTAGATGTAACCATGCCAGATCATTGCATTAAAAACAAACAAATAAAAAACATACACCAAAACCCTGTTGATGTATGGAAAGTGAACAGACTTTCAGTCATAAGGCTACATTCTTTTCTGTCTCTGTCTCTCTCTGTCTCTGTTGCTCTCTGTCTCTCTCCCTTAAAAAGTTTTTTTTTCTCCTATCAGGGTTATTAACTTAAGTGTTCCAACTAAGTCTACAAAATGGAACATTTTACCTAGCACTACTTCCTTCCTCTTTACACAAAAACCTTACCCTTTCTCATCCCTGTCTGAGCCAAAGAGGCAAACAGGTGTGGGAAAAGGAATATCAACAGTAATGCTAATGGTCAGATATTATTTGTGAAGGGAAAATCAGTATGTTCAGAAATGTTCAGAAAATAACTGCTTGTAAAGTTCATTTTCAACATAGTGTCTTATGAATATCATTGTTGCAATAGGTCATCCTGTATCTTTGTTTCAGCTTTTTGTTATTCACCTTCCCCTCCCCAAATTAGATAAATGTATATACAAGATGCAGGGAATCAACTTCTGGGAAGGGGGGAGTGCGGGAAGGTAGGGGAGGGAAAGAATAGTAGGAGAAAAACAAAGGATTGGTTAAAATGTTTGATAAGAAATATACTCATTACCTTACTCATGTAACTGCAACCCACCTGTACACCATCTTTACAATAAAATAAAATTTAAAAAAAGAGAAAATAATTGCTTGTATGCTAGTAGTCTAAACTCCTTTCTGCTTTGGAAATAAATAGTGTCTTCTGAGAATTAATGGGCATGTCAATGCACAATATGATGTTCCTGTAATGAAGTCCCTGAATAATACAGTGTTTCAAAAGCCCTGAACCCTTCATTGAATGTCTGGAGGATGCCAGCCCCAGCATCTCATAATGTGGAGAAATGAAAAAAGATAATTTCACAGTACAGTATTAACAATATTACAAGGTGAATTCCAAGTTTTCTATAACTTTAGTAAAAGGAGAAGAAAATCAAGTTGGGTTAGGATAATTGGGGTAAGTTTGAGAATTAGCTAATTTTCATAATTTGATGTAGGTAATACCTTTAAGATTTACAGAATGATTTTACATTCACAATCTCATTTGATCTTTCTGACTAGTTTGTGAAGTTAGTTAAATACTTATACCTATTTTTCATCTGTATGAATTGTTAGCTTAGAGATGTTAAGCAACTTGATTAAAGCTTCAGAGGCTAGAGCTGACTCTTGAGTCAGGGTCTTCTAACTCCTTATCTACTCTTAACTCATACATGTGTCTATCTATCTATCTATCTATCTATCTATCTATCTATCTATCTATCTATCTATCTATCTACACACAGAGCCAATGTTGGCAGTCTGAGTGTAGGGGGCTATAGTGGAAGGAGATGTTTATGGCAAAGGAGAAGAAGCAGGAGGCAAGCAAGCTACCAGGCTCTCCTGAGAGTATATATTACCTGATGATGGAAAGTCTCTTATTTTAGTCCATGGCTTCTCTGTCTCCCAACTTTGTCATTTCTAAGCCCCTTTTCAGTGCCAAGGGAAAATAATATAAAACCCTAGGTAATCTAGATCGTACTAACAGCAGCTGGAGAAAGGCTCCTTATGGCATGTGAGCAGGGCGTTGGCCCAGTTCCTTTTTTCCTCTTCAGGTATCTAAATTAAAGCCGTCTGCAAGTGTCTGTGCACAGCAGCAGCAGAAGCCGCGGGGCTGTAATCCTGGTAACCGGCTCCATGCACAATATATTAGGTGAAATGAAAGCAGCAGCAAGAGCAAGTGTCAGGGCTGTCTGAAGCATCATTCCAAATGGTATGGATTTAACAATACTTAATTTAAAAAACACCAGCTTGGACAGCAGCAAGCTGTTAACATTCAATGTGCTTTATGGCAGGAAAGAGTGAGCTAAACTTTCGGAATTTCTCTCCCTGGGGAGAGTGCCTCACAGCTTTGGCTCCAGAGCCACCTGTCTGGTCCTTGAGGTCGAGCCACTTTCTTTGGTCTTGCAGTTATAGGAACTGATGGACAGAGGACAGAGGGTATCCTGGACAGAGTGAAAGAACTCCAGGTGGAGGATTTAAAGATTCGGGTAGGGTGAAAGCTGCAGAGCTGGAAGCAAATAGGCCTTGTTTTCCTCATGGGGATGGAGTAAAGTTCTCTAATAGCCCTGGCTAATTCTGAAATGCAAAGGGAGAAATAAAGTGAAAAGGTGGATAAGATAAAACTGCAGGAAGCGGACCTCAGTTCTCAAGGGTAGAGCTGGAATTTGAACACAAATTTCAATTCATCTAGCTTCCATTTAAAACCACAGCCACTTGAGCATTTAGTATAGTGCTCCAGTCATCTTTCACACATGACCTACTGTGCTGTGAGCAGGAACTCTAAGAGGTAGACAGTGATTATGATCTTCAACAAGAAGATGAGGAAATGGATGTTCTTAGATAATAAATAGGTCCATAAATTTACTTATTATTAGATGGGAAATTTAAAGCCTGATCTAAGGCTGTTTGATCTTTTTTTTTTTTTTAGGGCTACTACCGAGGAAGCTGATGGATAAAAATACCTACATTTATTGAGAATCTTCCATGTATCATGTACTGCTATAAAACTTTTGTGTTTATTACTTCATTTCATCTTTTTGACAACCCAGTTCTCCAGATACAGGTATTGTTAAGTGGTAGATTTTGAACAGTTAACATTTATTGTAACCAGTGCCTTCCTGAGATGTTGAGTCCAGAAACCCCCAAACTTCATTTTCCAGACTCCCTTGCAGCTCCAATATTGGATATAATTTAGATGAAGCACTGCCATACAATTTGGAAAGAAGTGAAGCAGAGGCCATACTCTTCTCTCTGAGTATGGATAAGAACAAATGGCCACAGAACAAAGTGGTACGCCTGCTATGCCAACCAGTGACTGTCTGTGATATTAAAGATTATACATAAAACATTGTTTTTTTAAAGCTGTAGCAGAGAGGATGGGCATGGTCCTTGCAGCTCTTGCGTTTCCATTCATCATTTGCATTCATTAGATCACTTCCTGCTTTGAAACAGGCAGTTGCTCCCATGGGAACCTTACTCTGCACACAGTAGCATGGAACGCTTTAGAAAGCTCACATTAGAATTTTTCTTAGGCAACTCAAACTTT